TTTGTAGGCATTCACGGAGCCTTAAGTCTGTTCATTTGTTTTGGGTTATTATTTGTTTGTTTGTTTGTTTGTTTGTTTGTTTGTTTGGTACAGTGTCTTACTACACAGCTTGGACTCATAGGGATCCTCCTGTCTCAGCCTCCCCAGCACTGGGATCACAGGCGTGTGCTGCCATGCTGGTTTCAGTGGCCAACATGGTGGTTCTGGGGATCAAACCTAGGTGTTTGTGTTGGCCAGGCAGGCACCTAGACTGCTGAGCTATCTCCCCAGCCCCTCACTTTTTTAATCTGCCATGGATAATAACTATTTTGCAAACTTAGGACACACCTTAAGATCATTCCCTGACCCGTCATCATAAGCACCACAATCCAGAGTCACAAGAATTTTTCAACTGGAACAGAACTGTGAAATCTTGGGGGTGAGGAGATGGCTCAGTAGAATAAGCGCTTCCCTGGCAAGCGCAAGGGCCTGATTTCAATCCCCAATTCGGCCAAAAAACAAAAACAAAAACTGTGAAATCTAGCATTTAGAATTATACAAATGCCTCCAACAGAGGTATTACATTTAAGAGATTCACAGAACCTGCATTTGTCTCAGTGGCCATCTTTCTGACAGGGAAACTAAGGTCCAGAGAAAGTTTAAATGACACACAGTAAAGGCAGAAGTAGAATTTTAGACTATGGGTCAGTGATTTTTTGACAGAAGCATCTCTACAAGTTTCCTTTCCTTTCTGGAATACTAGATTATGTATTTGTTGGGCAATGACCTTCCTGAGGGTAAACTCAAGCTTCATCTACTCCGTGGGCCTGAGGTTTAGTCCAGATCTGAGACAGAGGCAGAAAGAAGTTACCAACCATGCCAGCCTGAACCTATATCCTAGACTGGCTGTGGCAAGAGTCAGCTGCCCACAGAGTCTCTTGCACCAATGCAGCCTGTGCCATCAGACCATGTGGTTGAAAAAATGCCCAGCAGGAGTAATAGTGGATAAAATTACAATTTCCTCTATGGAGAGGACCTTACCTTCCCACTTCTTTAAGCTCTGTTGACCTCTTCTTTTTTTTTTTGGAAGTGGGGATTGAACTCAGACCATTGTGCTTGCCAGGGAAGCACTTATTCTACTGAGCCATCTCCCCAGCCCTGTTGACTTCTTAAACTAACCAAGTAAACCAGACAGCCAGGGCTGTCCTCACTGCCAAGGATACTTCAAAGACATGTGGACAAGATTTTCCCTTCATCCTTCCTCTCAGTTTCAGCTGAAAGTGAGGCAAGCAAGCAGATATTATTGTTAGTGCTCACCATACTTAGAAATAACAAGTCATATTTTTTAAATGTTGAGAATTCCTATAGAGTTTGTATAAAAAGTCACACAGGTAATATTAGAAACAAAAATAAGAAAAATAAGAATGTCAGCTGATTTTACTGGTAGTGCTATGTGCCAAGAAGCTTGCTGGTGAAACTGCTGTGGCAAATTGTCAGAGCAGATTTACAAGGCCCTTTGTAAGTGGGCATGTTAGTGTTTCAGTTTTACACATGAGAAAGGAACGCGCTTGAGAGGGCAGGGGACATGAAAGGCACAGGGCTGAGATCTGAAGAATGGCATTGAACAAAGCACACATCCTTACAGCCTATATTTGTTCAGAAAAATACATTTTCCTAGTTTAATAATTTTGTTGGTTAAGTCCATTCTAGTTTTAAGATTTGTACTTTAGACACTGTTTCTTCCTCTTCTTCCTCTTCTTCCTCCTCCTTCTCCTCCTCCTCTTCTTCTTCTTCTCCTCCTCTTCCTTCCCCTCCCCTCCTCCTCCTCCTTCTTCTAGATTTCCTTAAAACAGAATTTATAGATTTAATTCATTCAGAAAATACTTTGAGAGCTCCTTCTGAGCTCTAGAATTTCTGATGAAATCCAATTTTATTTCTCTGTTTATCCCTTTAATCAGGCCTCATGAGCTGAATCTTCCCCTGGGTTCTTACTTTCCTAGGCTCTTCTTCTTCTAGATTTTCTTAAAACAAAATTTATAGATTTGCTTCATAGATGTCCTGGCAGTTTCCAGGCAACCCTGACATAACTTTCTTTGGGGACCTTTCTCTCTTCTCTATAATCCCTTCCTGAGTCCAGCAACAAGAACCATTCTGTACCACAGAACAGCCTCACCCTACCACATACATACCAGACAGGGCTCCCACCTGACTACAATTTCTGGATAACCTATGAAAACGTCTCTGTATCATTCTGATGAGGACACATGCTACCTAAGATCAACCCCTCTGCTCAGTGTGGTCTGTTGTACCCGGGGAGAAACAGTGACAGGAATGAGGAAAAGATAGACAAAAAGCAAGAGCTGTGTCAGGTGGTGGCCCATCTGCCTGGTTGGTGAGATGATTCCCCAAAAGAATAGTAATGTGCCTTTATTTATACTTTACAAAGTTGCAAGACACAGGTTGCTTAGCAACTAATATCCCACAACATCCAGGCAGGATGTTTTTCTCAAGACTGAGGTAGTTTGACTGCTTTAGGCAATGAGGCCTCATCCTGCCCTCCCACATACAATCATTTTCAGCTTTAGCGACTCCCAACATATCTCTCTTTTTTGTTTTGTTATGTGAAGTGTGTTCAGTTATAATTGGAGAAGCTGTATTTGGAGAGCTCCTTAGAAAACCTTTTTATTCTTGATTATAGTCTAAGGATTTTTGGTACTTGAATTCAGCAATATAACCCCTGTATAGTCCAAATAGTCCAAAAGAGTACTGAATTATCATTGCAGCTAGCAAATTGCAGAAGTTGTTAGTGACTTGATCCTTTTATAGCTTAGCATATTATTATGGCACTACTTTTAACATCTCATGGTTGTACTTCCTTGCTGGATGGTTAAGACCAAGTTGAAGCAAGACTTGTGTAAATACAAATTTCACTCTTGCTATGTGACAGTTAAATCTCCTCAGGATTATCTTAGAACCATGTACAGCACCTCTTTGATCTTCTGTCAGTGTCAGCCATCTGAATGAGTCATGGCCATTGCTTGACCTTTTTTTTTTT